TTTCATTTGATATTCTCACGTTTCAAAACTATGAACAATCTCAAAAGAGTTCTTTAGTTATATCTTTTTAAATCATTCAATCTTAAAAAATAAAACTCAATAAATATTTAATATTTAATTAGTTGATATTTAGATATGTATTTTAAACATCTTTTATATTATAATCTATAGTATGTTCAAAATAAAACAAAAAAATGAAGTAAAACTAAAATTAGATATACAAATAATATTTTGCTACTTCTTGTACTGTTTTTGTTAACCTTTTTGTTTCACTTTTTATATCAAGTACCAATTATTTTTAGAAAAAGATGTGCACTTAAATCCATGTACGAAAAAGTTTAGCTTTTCTTTTATTTCTTTTATTAAAAAAGAAAACAGTTGTAAAATCATATTATAGTTATAACACTTCTTATTTTTGTTTCATTCTTAGAGAATATTAAGTTTAAATTGATGATTTTTCTTTGTGAATACATTTTAGTTACAAACATACATCAGATCATACACATTAAAGTAATTAAAAAAGTGTTCGAATCCTTCAAGTTTTGGTGCTAAAATTTCAAGTATACTTCATAGATAGAAATGTTAGGTATGTACACATGCATATTTATTCACATATATAATATGCAGACAAAAACAAACAACTTCTATATACTTTTTTGTGAAAGACTTGCTTCGCATTTGATAGTAATTTTTCTTTTCTTTTCTTAATAATAAATAAATATATACTTTTTAGACACATAGATTTTAATAATATTATTAAATATTATTTGAAGTTTTAAAAAATTAAAGACTACAAACAATATGCTAAATTCTTCAACTCCATTTTTAAAAAGAAGAATAGGTAAAGAACTTAAAAGCTATACTAACTACCAAATCAAACATCAATGTGTCTAGAAGTTGCAAGATGACAGAATTGGGCCATTTCCACAATTAATGTGGTATTCTTTTTTGTTTGTATACTTTCTGTAAAAAGATGCCTTCATGCTGATATCACCCAGTTTCATAAGCAATAAAAACAGACTTTTGAGATCCATTGAATTCTTTAATATATGTATATGTATATATATATATATATATAATCAAAAACCAATTCCCTACTTTTTAATCATGGTTATCATGCTTGTGCATGAAGTGCAATGACATTTCTAAGTATCTGAATCATTTCATCACCTTACTAATTTTTTAAATTTTAATTACGTAACTTGTACACACACACACACACACACACACATATATATATATATATATACATATATATATAGATATATAGATATTAATAAAAGAAAGAAGAAATAGTGCCACAAGTGTTTGTTCCCATGAAGAATAAGACTCAAGCTTGTTGGGCACTTTGCACTTGGAACTCTAGAATCTTGACATGTGGCATGGTTCACTGATTCTCTTGAACTGCCTGCCTCAAGAAGTTGAGTTCCAGAAGCTTCTAGAAGCTTCCATCCATACATCCATCCACTCACCCACCCACATCCATCCATCCATCCACTCATCCATGTCTGGATGTATGGGAAATGATCCCATAAAAGAGTGAACAAGGGCCATGTGCCATCTTGCCTTGGAATCCTAACTCTTCATGTGTACATGTACATGACAATGTGCCGACCAATTTCTTTTCAAGTATCCATTGCAAACCAAACCGAATTACACATAATTTAATTTTTATGCTCGTAAAATTCAATGTACAGAATTAGATTTATTGTTATGTATGAGAGAGAAATGGGGGTTGATATGAAATTGGGAACACCAAACTGTGCTACAGTTGCAGCATTAATGGGATCATGGGACATATGAGCATGAGCATACCCCTGTGAATGCACATTTGAGAAGAGTAAAACATCAAAATAAATAAATAAACAAATAATAGAGCCTTGTTCAATTATGAAGTATTGTTTAGAAGCTTCCAAAAGGATATAAGGGCGCCATTCTATTAGGTGGTATTGTCTAGAAGCTTTTCAAAACCTAAAAAGTATTATACCCTAAAAGTCTCTGCTGTTGAAACCCCTCAGGCTTAGATGGTTCAATCCTTCAGATGGGTATATATATATATATATATATGTACATATATAGGATCTTGAAATGAAACATACATTGAAATGTTATTTGTAAGTGTTGTTTAGGTCTTTCTAAAGAACATGGTTAAAGAAGTATTGTTCATTAAGAAACACTCATTTTCATATATAGAAACATATATGAAGCTTCAGAAAAAATTGCAGAAAATTATTGAAATGTAGTATGTTTTGATGTGGTTTCATTTGATTAAAAATAGGGGCTTTTTGTCAGTTTATGTAAACTAACACACAATAACCTTTTCTACCACATAGAAGCAAATCTCTCACAATAATCTTATTAGAAAATTTTCTATGTTGGCTTTTCAATAATGGTCAGTATTCATTTTTGTATTTTTATTCTCTAGTATGTAAAGTTTAGTTGAACCCTACTGTATGTGCATTGCAACCAACAGAATTAAGCAAAATATAACAAAATTATATATATATTCAATGAATTTTTTGTCATGTTAATATGAAAAAACAAGATCTTTTCATATTGTGAACTCCAACATTGGTTATTTCTCCAAAATATACGATTTTTCTTGTTTATTTTTTAATATTATAGATGATATAATCTAACTCTACATGGCTGGCAACTACTGGAGAAATGTTTTTGGAGTACAAATTGATTTATTGGACAGCACAATGAGTGGCTACGTCAGCTTTCTTTCTCCTTGCCATGAATTGTTTATTCTTTTCATTAAATATAATATGTTTATGGGAATGATGCCATAAAAGTCTTTAATCCAGTCCACTATTCAATTTATCATCTCATACACATTCATTTTCCTTTGATCCATACAGTGAAAGACAATAGGGTCCACCTGCTATAATTTATTATTATACATTGTTGCTGAGTCAGCAGATTCTAACTCCATGCTCCTACAGGATGCTGATTTGTGTCACTGCCGTATTGTTGTTGAACTACACTACTATTGCCTTTTTCATTGCATTGTAAGTGGGTCTATGTTATTAGTTCAACTACTTAAACAGGTGTAATAATAAAAAAACTGCATTGCAATAGTTACATAATAAGTGGCACATACTTGACACTACTACTAACCCATTGGTTACATCAATAATTCTGTTGGACTGATACCTTTGTTAAAGAAATTACTAAGTTGTACCAGTAGGTTGGTTGATTTAATAACTTGGTTCTGGTGAAATTTTATCGTGTTTTAATAAGTTTTTTAACACAAATATATTTGTTATGCTAATTCCAATAAGCAAAGCTATTCTATGTGCTTGAAATCACTTCTGGTAGGAACCTATGCTGTACAATTGAGAAGTCACAAAGTTTTTGTCATGTACACACATACATGAATGTGTACAATGTATTGATTCAATACCAATAAAAGAGGAAATAAAATGAAGAACATAGCTTAAATTATTTGATTCCATTATTCATTCAAACCATTGTTTGAAACATTAAGGAGATTCAGACTTGAGGTTTTTGGGTGATATTTCACCCATGATGATATCTCAAACTACCATGTGATATTTCAAAATATTAAATTTTTGATGAAAGTGATAACAAGTTGCAACAATTTTGATGACTTGTATTGCTTCTAGTTTCAAGTTTTCTTGAATTCCAGACCCAAGTTTGATATCTAACGTAAAAATGTATTGTGCACTTGCATGAAGCTTCTTATTCTAAATTTAACCTTGAAAGCTGTCATTTTGCATACAGACCTACAGAATTCTCATTGGTGCATGTAGAGTTAATATGATGGGAATATATATATATATATATATATATATATATATATCTAGAGAGAGAGAGAGAGAGAGAGAGAGAAGTCTGTATCCTAAAACAGATGGACGAAACCAGACACAAACAATGCAAAAAAAATATCAACAAATGGAATTCACCCCATGATCTAACCCGCAATAATATACTAATTAAATCCTTACTAATTCAGCGAAACCCGACACTAATAAACCAGCACGAGGTTGATCTCCAATGGATGAATGAAGGAGGGAACAAATGAACGAGGCCGTGAAGTTGATGGACGGAAAATGGAACAGATGAGGGATGAGACGAACGAAGCCCGTGAATGGATAGATGGATGAATGAAAAAGCTGCACCGACTGGGGAAGGCGCCGAAGAAGCAGCCGCGGGGCCCAGACGGGTCGAGGCACCTCCCACGAAAAAGAAGCTTGAGATCTATCCATGCACCACCACTCCTGCGATCGAAGGGCGCAGAGATTCTTAGAAGCTGCTGTTATAGTAAGTAGCTAAAAAATCCCTTCCTGCAAATCCTCACTATCGACCCTCCTCCTCTTTGCTGCAACTATAACGCCGAATCTAGCAGGTCGCTCATGGGGAGAATCGTAGCTGGGGGAGGTGTCTATTGCCTCACGCCCGCGTGGGCTGGGCCCTACAGATTGCCTGGGTGCGGTGCGTTAACGCCGGGACCCCATTGCCGCAGCTCCAACTCCCTAAGCTGCGACGAGGAGCCGTCAGGTGCGTTTATCTCTCGGTGGGTGGGTGAGTGCTGGATCCTATCGCAGCTCAGATCCATCACCGTTCAGTGATTCCAGAAGCTTTTGTTTGAGCTTCGATGTTGGGAGTGAGGGGTTTTGTAACATGAGTTGCGAGAGCGGGAAAGGGATAAAAGGTCCCTGGAAGCTGGAACACAAATTATGGCACACAAAAGTGGAGAGGGAGAGCGAGAGAGAGAGGATGGGTTTGGACACTTTTTTTTTTCTGGCCCAGTGGGTGTGTGGATTTTTTTAGTGGGAAAGAACGGACCGGAACGTATGTGGAGGAGCCCTCCTGACCTTATCACATAATTAGGAGTTTGCATGATAAAAGTGGGGAGGATCATATGGCTGCGTGTGTGGCAGTTGCGATGATAGGGGGGAGGGGATGGGTGGGAACAGGAATGAGGTCTTCATTGTGACCGTGTTTTTTGTTTTTTTCGTCTGTCAAGGAAATGTTTAGAATTGCTCACAACGATAACTTTTTATAGTAAAAAGCGAGTGGCAGAGCGGTGCCGACATGGCTCATGGGCCCCTTTAAAAGACAGATAAGTTGTCTTGAAGCGGATGCTTTCAAATCACACCAAGAGGGCACCAAACTAGTTTTTTGAACCTGATGCAATCATCTTCACCAACCTTCACTGATTGCGTAATAGGTTTCCTGGCAGAAATCCAAGAGACTCCGTAGCCCTCGATTAATTCTTTGGCGTACGTAGTAGTCACGACGAAGGTTCGTCCTCAAGCTGTGAAGTAGCTAAGGAGCTGCAGCTGGATGGTGCTGCAGGCCAACATACATGAGGATTTTCATAATGACCACTGTAAATGGACATGACAGACGCAGACGTGCTGAATCAACATGAATCTGTTTCTAGGAAGAAAATTGTTTCTGCATTATTAGGTGAACCCATTCTGGCAGGGATAGAACCTATAAACCTGACAAGACAATACTGAATAGCATTTAGCAACTTTTAGGTGAGGTTACTGAGGGCGGCACACCTGTCACCTGACAATAGACAAAACAAGATACACGACTAAACAAGAAGAAATTTGTTGGATGGGTCCCACATTGTCGACAAGGACATTGCAACGGCCACGTTGGAATGGTTGCATCTTAGAACTGCGCTTCGGAGGACAAAATCGTAAATACGGACGATGTTGCATTTGTTACATATTGTATTGCATGAATAGCAAACGCACATAGTTAACAGTAACGTGGATTCAAACCAGCTGGGTCATGGCACAGATCCGGATCCGAGCATGAATCTATTTGAATAGTGGTCTTCGTAAGAACTCCATGACGTCAGCTCCAAAACAGGGAAGCTGACTGAATATGATAAAATTCGGATTTTGGTGTTTTTTCCTGATCGTTGACACTTAACTTTGAACGGAAACTCTCGAAGTCTGTCAATTTGAATTACCAATTAGCACTTCTTGGACACTGCTGATTTTGGACAATGCAAGTTCAGTTGTGAACCTAAAAAATGGAATTCCAAGGTCAGATTACACCAAAAAAGAAAAAGAAAAAAGAAAAAGAAAAAAATAATTATCATTACTTTCGAGTAACTGGATTTTTTTGCGATCGTAATAAAAAAAAAAAAAAAAAAAAAAAAAAAAAAAAACACACGAAGTTTTGGTCATTCAATTGACTTTACCGTCAAGAGTGGCCCAGAGGATGAGAATCTTCACTGTACCAAGTTTCATCCTGAGAAATTGAAGAAAAATCCTGGAGAACGAAGGCAACCAATTGACGTCAATACACTATCTCCAGAAAGTAGAAATTTCCATTAACTACTGACTTCGTCCAATAAATAGAAATGAGACCAAGTGGTACCTCTAGACACCCCAGACGTAACTAGTAATACGATGCCTTTTCCTTGCGGCTTCGTAGCGGGCGAAACCAAGAGTTGTCTTCATTATCAACTAGTGAATTGATACCAGCAGATAGAGCGGCTCGTGGTGCACGAGACAGCAATACTACGTCTCTTTGGTTTACTAGAATTCTGCAAAAGATCGACAAAACAATCGAACACTCGAATAGACTTAGCACATTGAAATGCAAGAAAAAGACGCAGTTTTTAAGCTTGAGTACGAGATATAATAGTGGAGCAATCACAGAAGTCACTGGCGAACTTATACTAGGTAAATTCACATTTGAAAACCCTATTACATTCAAATACATCAAAAAATCGTTTCAGCTCTGCCGTCGAAAGAGAACTTAAAAGTATTACAGACTAGCTCTCGTTAGAGACAAACCTCTGGATAACCCAAGGTTGAGGTTGTCCTCCAACTTTTGATGACTGATGCCGCTTCAACTGCTCCAGCTGCACTCCATCCAATATAGTAACTAAATTCATGCTGGGTGAACTATCTACTGTAATTAAAATCGGAGCAGTAACTGTGTGTCCCGAAAAAGTTAGATTACACCTTCAATTGTTGAAGAATCCCAATTCATATGTACAACCAGCAAGCCAGCTAAAAATATTTAAGCATAATTGGAATGCTACAACACCGTCACTGTGTATCTATCGTTACAAAAAATTCGAGGACGTTTACTCATTCCAGGGACCAGAAACTGGAGAAGAGAACTATGAGGGTCTGCTCCTCCCCAGCCCTCCCCCACCTCCCAAAGAAAAAACACTGTTTGACTGCTATTCTCCTGTTCCTGGTCCTGAGAATGGAGTGCATGCAAATAAACCCTTCGTATTTGAAGAAACGGTTGATATAAACAATTATTAATATCAAATTTAAACATGGAGATTTAGACCAAACTTAAAGGCGAATACATGTCGGCTCCTTGCAAAGACGGACTCAAAGACCAACATCAAAAGGAGACTAAAATGACTGCGTCTTCTGTGCTAACTTCACATCTATTGACATGTTTGACTATGAACATATTATTTCCTAAAAGCCACCAAAAACTTAAATACCATTATGTAAAAACTGACACTGTAAGTTCTGTTAAAGCTCTAATAAACACAAAACACGAGTGGGATACTAGGAAAATTGAGTGGAGCTGTATCAATTACGTAATAAGCGTCTTCATCTACATACATGTAAAACAAAGAACTACTGTACTGGTGAGAGAGATGTGATTCAGTGATACACAGAAATCCTAAACGCTCCAAAAGCTACCAATGATTACGTCTGAATGGGATACCCCTACTGTAAAGTATAGTGTCGGCAAATCGCACCGTTCTTTACAAAAGAATCCTGGTGCGCACAGCCTGCATGTTGCGGGCGATTCCAGAAACATCCACACAACGAAAGAGATCATACCCACAGCTCGGCAGGCGTTTTCCTTGCACTAGGAGAAGGCATGATCACCTCCTTCGAACTGCCCCGTTGGCATTCGATGCATTCCACGACAACAGCATTTGGCGCACGCCCAAGACTAGCATAGACACACCAAGAGCACCTCATTTAAAAGACCTTAAATTACTCTCCTGCCTCCACTACAATTAACCCCATCCCGCCCCATATTCACCACCAATCTGGCATCCATAGTGCGAATTTTATTAATTTCACAACCTTGCTTTACCAGCTCTAAACTACTCCAGGACCACAATTCATCAAGCTGCATCCACTCAAACACCACTCCCTCTTTTCCTCCAGATTAGTCCTGGGACATCGCTATCAAACGTGGGACATGTGCACCGGCGCCTGACGTTGCATGATCCAGACCGAGATGTAGTACCCCAGAATGGCAAGAAAGAAAGAGCAAAACGTCACAAACTGTATAAACACCAGCAACGACTCTTCACTCTTCCTTTTCTGCTGATTCTTCTTCGTCTCCGAAATCTCCATCACCTCAGCTCTTCACACTCCAATTTGTTCTTCAAAAGGCCACTCCTCTGTACTTCACAACCGCGCTGGGCAACACAGAATCCACGACCCCGCTCAACCCTTCAGCTCCGAGTCGATTTTCGACGGCTCCCGCAACCCTACCAACTACCCAACATCAACGGAACCCAACTGGACAAAAGCACGATTCTGGACCCACCGAGCGCCGAAATGGAATCCAAAAAGAGGCGAAACGAAACAAGCGAGGCTGTTACCGCGATGTCGGTGAGGAAATGACGGAGGCGACGGGAGATCCAGTGCGGGAGAAGAGGGGAAGCAGCAACAGCGAGAGACGGGACGGGACGACAGCGACGCTGGAGACTGACTGCCGCGTGTGAAAGGCACCGAGAGGATTTAGACGGATGGCGCCGGATGGTGACGGATGACGACGGACGACGACGGACGACGACGGATGATAAGGATGGGTGATGGATGACGACTGGTGCGGTTTGGAATCTATTTGGCTGAGCTGGCGGCCACCTGGACATGCTTCCGTGGCAGCACAGCGGATAAGCTTTTGTTTTTGCGTGCTGTTTCTGCACACCAAAGTAACAAATACCACAAACTGTGTGTGTATATATATATACTAATGGAAACCCGTGCAGTTGCCCACGTTTTTATCCCTGTATTTGACTCATGAACTGTTTTATGTGAGAGATTGTCTTGTAAGATTAACGAATTTCATATGGATGTACTATTTTAATAATTGGTTGAAACAAAAAGAATAATTACTCAAAACAGCCATTTGTTCAATAGTGCAGCATGTTTTTATCATCACATTTTGATATTTGATCAGATCTCAATTGATTACATTACGTGAGTGAGCTATATTTTAGATTTTTAAAAAGAGCATAAAATGATCAAAAAGACAGTTTTTGTAATCTTGGAATTTTTGAAAAATACTTATATGATACTGATGAAAATTCCATCCCCAGACAATTGAAAATAAAAGAAGCAAGTATAGTTTACGATTTATATTTATAAAAAATACATGTGAAAATCTTCTAATTTGACATATACTAGAAAAGATTGGAACAAGAAGGACAATTACTTAGAACAGCCATGTGTTTAATCATGCAGCATATTTTTATCATCACATTCTGATAATTGGTTAGATCATATATACTACCTTCGACTTATCACTGCATATTTTCGAAACGGAGTTGGTCACAAATTAAAAAAGCTAAGTACAACAGCTCAACGTCATGGTTTTTACAATTTGCACTGAACGTGCACATGGAAGAATCCGATGCGCATGGAAGAATTTTAGAAAGAATGAATCAACACATCGGAAATATAGAATAGCCGGGGCCTTATTAGAAAAATCCTCGCATGGCCAGGCATTATTGAACTAACAAGTGTAAACACTTTGATTTCTAGTGAGAACTGGCCGCACAAATTTTTGACACAGTGTCCGATGCTGGCAGTTGCAGACCAGATTTGTCGACGATGCAGTGCTTCTGCTCTGAGAATGATCAACTCTTGGAGAAAAATTCTTCAATGTCCATTAGCTCCAGAATGATCATGCAACTGAACCCTAACAATATCTTGAAAGCTGCATGTTCAAGCGATGCTTCGACAATATTAGGAGTGCTTACGACGAAGCAGATCCTCCCTCTATTTTTGACTTTCAATCAGTTTGGATCGGATCTTCGTGGAGTAGGAAACTAAAAATCTGTATCCCTTGCAACCATTTTACAAACAATCAAGTTGCCGCAGGGACTAACGGCTCCTCAACTTTCATCTTAAACCTTTCCGCCTCAAACTTCGTTCGAGTATCCGTGGGCCTCGTAAAATGATGCACCTCGCAAAATTCAACGCTCATCGCCCCTCACAGCTGGTGCTCGATTGCCCGATTCCTTAGGCTCCCTGAATTATTCACGCATGAGTTTTGTTCTACCAAAGTTCTCGCATGCTTTCCCTCTTTGGAAACATCGTGAAACAACACGTTAATGTCAATTAACTTACAATTAACTTACAATTAATCTAAGTTTTGGTTCACTTTTGATGAAAGTTTTTTGATGAAAACAGTGAGGCATGCAACCAATCACGGAGGGTTTTTTTTGACTCCTCTTGTTTATCGCTTGTATTTGTCTCACAGTATAATAGATATATATATATAAAATAAAAATAAAAATAAAAGTTGAGGTGGAGAGAGGGTACCATTTAAAAGGTCACATGATTAAATTTAATCAAGTTAAAATGCTCAAGAGATTTTAGCTTTTCCTTTTGATACATTTGCTAACAGAACTGTTGTATGAGAATTTTTTTATACGTTAGGAATTTTGTAATTGAATTTTATTTGGTTTTGTGATGGTTACTTACTTATATATATATATATAATTTTATTTTATTTTTTCCTTTTTTCAGATTGTCAATCCCAATTTTTTTTTATAAACAACATCTTTGTTTGAATGACATCTCTAAAATGCCTTTTAGATGGACATATTCAAAAAATATGCTGTCACAAAAAAATCTAAAATATTTCCCTCTCTATATATATCTATTTATTTTTATTTTCATTTTATATGAACATTTTTGCACATTTTTCAGTAATGATATTTCTGCAAAGAACAAGCTTGGTTTTGCACATTCTGTAAGTTTCTAAAAGTAAAAAAATATATGGTACAAAAACACGTTTTGTATTAATCGTATCTTAATCTTAGAGTACATATTTAATAGGTACTTGAATGGATTGTTATAAAAATAAGTTAGGTATTGATGATAATCATTTGATTATATTATTATTTGAACCATGATTTATTTTATAATCATGAGTTTTTAATTACTATGAGATTTGATATCTATAGCAATACTTCTAAAGTTCTAATATTAAACCTTATATCTCAATTGAAACAAATTTAATAATTGCTTTTAGACTTTCAATATATGTGTTCATGAATAAATGCAAAGTTAAACTTGACCTTATCAACTTTATCTTTAATTATGTTTATGTTTTGATTTACAAGTCTTCTTACATTTTTGATAATTATTTTATTTTATTTTATATATTTTAAATATATTTAGTTTTATATATCATTTATCATTATTATTATTATTATTATATTTGAATTAATTTTAAAAAATACTAATGCAATTAAATTTTAATTTTGTATATACAAATCTTTAGCATTTATTTTTTAGAATATCATTTTAAAGTTGTGATATTTTGTTCATTCAATTAATTATTTGTTAATAGAATAAATTCTAATGATGTCCTTAAACTTGTTGAACTTAATGAAATAAAGATAAATTTTAGATCAATTGTTATTATTGTTATATCAACTACTTCTTACCTTGTCCTAGAGCCACACCATACAACTTACTACTATTAATATTTATGTTATATGAAACTACTAAGAAAGAAACTATTTATATTATGAAGAATGAAGAGGAGATGAAGAAGAATAACAATGGTGAGGGTTAAGTTGGGAATAAAGAAAGATGGCCTAAAAATGGCTTGTAAGATAATTTTGAGTATTTTAGAATTCATCTTTATCCTTCATTGTATTTTTTGTAAGTTGTTGATGTTCAAGTTTAGAATAGCGGCTTTTGTTTTTCTATCATAAGATTGTGTTTAGAATATTACATTCTTAATTTTTATTTTTTTAAAGAAAATATTTGAAATAAATAAATAAAATTTTTATTTATCATACTAAGGCAATAAATTAAATTTTTAGACATTGATGTGTATAGACAAAATATACTAAAAAAGATAATGAGAAGCTTTTGCATCTTGCAAAATTTATGCCAATTTATTCACAAATAATTTATTTGTAGAGTTAGTCATATCCCAACTCAATATTTAGAATAATATAAAAAAAACTTGGATGATGAATGTGTAAGGAATGAGAATTATGAACTTGTAGATAATTTTCTAAAGCTATAATAAGAAAAAATTGATCTGAATTATGAATCTAAGTCAACAAGGCCAAATTTAGTGGATGTGAATGACAATGAAAAAAATGTTGTTAAATGAAAAGACTTGTTTGACTAAAAGATAAGAAAAGAAGGTTACAAAATAAAGAAAGAAAAAATGGTTATAAGAGGCAGGCTAACTTGCATTGTTGTGAAATTATTAGGAGCCCGAAGCTACTAATAGTAATAAACAATAAAGACTTAGCAAATAGAGTAGAATTGTTTACAACATTGAAATTCAATGAAAAAAAAGCTACCATGTAGATTTTTTGAATTTAAATAAGAAGAATAAAATTTTAAAAATCTATTATATCTAATTATTTTAAAAAAATATTAAAAATATTAAAGCTTAATCATATAAAGAAGAGATAAATATGGATAAAGTATCCTAATATAAGAATACTCTTGCAATAGTTATACATGTAAGCTTATTAGTTTAGTCATTGATTAGTGTTTTTTAAGCCATAGCCAATTTATATAATAGAGATGATTTTTACTCTATATCTTTTAAGTTTTATGTTAAAATTTTGTAATGTTTGAATTTTAAAAATTCATGTAATAATCATCAATTATTTGATATTATAACTTTTAAAAATCTTATAGCACATGTTAATAAATTTAATATTTTCAAATTTTTATGGCAGCAATTTAAGCTTATGTTTTCTACTCCACAAATATATAAAATTAAACTCAAAGAAATTACAAAGATGGTCTATTCTAAGAATTTCATTGAATATTGATTAGATGAACATAGTAAGCTCAAACTCTTCTATAACTAGATGTTTAATCCATTCTTAGGTTGGTTTTTATGTAACACAACTTTATGGAATTCAAGTCTAGATAATTAAACAAAAAGACCTTAAAAATTGATAGGATTGATAAAAAAATATATTATAATATATGGTTTTATATCTTAAAATTATATTATTTAAATTATACTTAAATAAAAATCAAAAACTTATTGTAGATTTTTGTGAAGTTACTTTTGAGTTTTTAGATTTTAATAATGTTATAACCATTTTTTTTATAGAAAAAAAATTATCAAAGAATGTATGCTCAACTATCATAAGTACTTATCTTTGAAATTTATAGCATTAAAAATCTAAAAAGAGTAGGACAAGGACCAAATGCAAATAAAAGTTAAGATTTTGTGATTGTATTTACAACAATCTTATTTCAAGTTATAAGATTTTTAGTGATTTGGTCTCTAAGAAGTAATATTGGTTAAAATAATTAGCATTCATCAGTTACTTAAACTTTTGGAATATAATGGAAGAATATGATTTTTTTACATCCACTATTAAGGTCTAATATATTATATAGAAATTAACTCAAAAAAAAAAATTTAAAAATTGATAATAATAGGCTCTGAAATATATTTAAAGAAATCTATAATAATAAAATAGGGTAGTAT